TCTTGCTCATGCACTATGGTTTCTTCTTCTAAGATTGGATTTTCTGTGGTTTGCTGTGTCAATTTTGACAATTTTCCTTGGGAATCCTCAAAACGAGACTCGCCGAACCGCTTTGTGATATTCTGTAAAAATTCCTTCCATGTAGTTAACATTCCATTCCTTTTCATCCATTGATACCACCCAGAAGCAATCCCTTCCATTGTGAATCCTGATATTCGCAATCGCTGTGTGTCGGGTGTATCATAAAAATCAAAATATTCTTGAATTCTAAATATCCAACCATGAGGGTCTGAGCCATCAAAGCGAGGTAACTCAAGTTTCATATGAAATCGTTGAGTCCCTTGGCCACTCTCCAGTTGCAAAGATGGTTGTAGATGATTATCAGGTGGAGGCCCTAAAATTCCATGTGTTTGAGGTTGCACTGCTGCATTTTTATTTGTTGTTACCATCGTTTCCAACCGTGACACGGAGGTAATGAGTTGTTGAATGAGTTGGTGATTTGTAACAGTTTGTCTATCATAATTTTTTTGAAATTCGGCAATTGCCTGCTCCCAAGGACGAGTTGTTGATGTGGATTGGTTGTCTGACATAATGAAGTAGGATTACAGTTTTGAGTGTGTAAAAGAACAAGAAAGATGAGTTCTCTCAATGAAAGCACCAATTGATACGAACCCGTATCAAGCCGGCACCGCTTTGAGTGGGTGCAGACTCCAGATGGAATTAGGGGAGGGGAAAAATCAGAGAGAGAGAGAGAGAGAGGGAGAGATAGAGAGAGAGAGATTTCAGAGAAGGAAGATGAGAGTAGAGAAGAAAAAGATAATAATAATTCGCATGTCTTTCCCCCTAGCATGCAGGGTGATTATATACTAAGTTACTCCTATTATGCTTAGGACTATGATTCCTAATTAATATGATATAATAATGTATTAGGACTAAACTAATGTATCCTATTACGAATAAAATTAGTCTAACAAATGTAATCAACCATCCATGCCGGTTTCCTTCGTTTTCTCCTTGGCATAGTAGCATGGGTTGTTTCTTTTCTTTCTCCCAATTCTTGATTTTCACCTTCTTCTAGTGTGGATATACTCGTATCATGTATAGGCAGAAATCACAACTTTTCTTGACGAGAGAGAGAGAGAGAGATGGATTCTCTAAGATCTGAACAAGACAAGCCCCATGCAGTGTGTATACCGTATCCAGCTCAAGGCCATATCAACCCCATGCTAAAACTAGCAAAGATTCTCCATCACAAAGGCTTCCACATCACCTTTGTCAACACAGAGTTCAACCACCGCCGCCTGCAAAGATCCCTGGGGCCGGAATCTCTCCGGGGCCTGCCGTCCTTCCGCTTCGAGACCATCCCCGACGGCCTTCCCCTGTCGGAGGCGGATGCCACCCAGGACATCCCCTCCCTCTGCGAGTCCACTAGCGCCACCTGTTTAGGCCATTTCAAGGACCTTCTTGCCAGGCTTAATGACACCGCCGTGTCGTCAAACGCCCCCCCGGTGTCCTGCATAGTCTCCGACGGGATCATGAGCTTCACCATCGACGCCGCCGAGGAGCTGGGCATCCCGGAAGTCCTGTTCTGGACTACTAGCGCCTGTGGCTCCTTGGGTTACATGCATTACACTCAACTCCTCGACAAGGGCTACACCCCTCTCAAAGGTAACAAATTTCTTGCTTCTCATTAACGCTAAAAATCATTAATTTGGGCAATTTCAATCCCAACAAAAGGATATACGGAGTATTAACCTTCTTGATTTGAGCTGATTAACTATTCCATTGTTATTTAGAGTCATAGTTAAGAATGATAATTCTACTCTCACTCAATGAGTTCACCCGCATCCCAGTCCCTACAGTTTTAAAATACCCGCACAATTTGAGTAATGGGTGCGGCATGGTTGAAGTAGGCGCTAGGCACTAGTCGGGCACCACGGCAGCACCTAGCGCCTAGGCGGAAGCTAGGTGGGCGATAAAAAAATAGTGGGAGACTTGTAGTTTGACAATTTTAATGAGTTTGTTTTCAATATTCAATCAAATAACACATCCAAATAAATGAAATAATGGTATTTTATAAGGCATCATCAAAATAATATTAAAAAATAAAAATACTCAAATATGAAATACTCAAATACTTCAATCATCCAAAGATTCAAAGTATCAAACTAGTCTACGTACGGATGGACCAGACGACATCGGATGAAATCGACCGACTTGGCCGCCTAGGTCGAGTAGGCCGATTTTGACCGATTTCGCTGCCTAGGCGCCCAGCCGATTTTTGGGCGCCTAGTAGTGAAAGCGGAATGGCTTAGGGGCGCCAGCGCCTAGGTGCCGCCTAGGCCGATTTTTACAACAGTGGGGTGCGGGTATAGGGAAAATTTGTATACCCGCATGTGTATTCCTCGCCCTGTACCCGCCCATGCAGTTATATATATTGTTATTAGTATTTATTTATTATATAAGTTTATGTATATTTTATAATTAAAAATGCATAATGAATTAAACTTCTTAATTTTTTGTTTATGAAATTTGAATAGGAACAACACAAATAACATGAGTAAATACTTAATACAATTTATACTACCAACACAATTTTAGTTCCAATTAAAAACTAACTTCAATTCATTTGCTTTTATTAAATTTTAGAGTTATATTCAAACTTATAAAAAAATGCATGTGATAATTAAAATTGTAGTATAGATTTTTATTAGATTTGAGTGTAATATTAATAATTAGAGTTGCAGATTGAATATTACTGGCACTCGCAAAATACCTGCAGAGCGGGTATAGGATAGAATTTTAATTACCCACACGAGTGTGAGGAGTGAGTTGAAAATGCGGGTGCAAAGACGGGGATATATCCCGTGCAGCCACCCGCCCCATTGTCATTCTTAATCAGTGGGCAGGATTTAGTCCATAGTGACCTCAAATTACTGATTTTTTTCTGGTCTTTTTCAATGTTTCATTCAGATGAGAGTTACCTGACAAATGGGTATCTGGAGACGGAGTTGGATTGGGTAAAAGGCATGAAAGGCATACGTTTGAGAGATCTTCCATCTTTCTTGAGAACCACAAATCCAGATGAATACATGTTGAAGTTCATCTTACAAGAAACAGGGAGAGCGAGAAGAGCTTCTGCCATCATTCTCAACACCTTTGACGCGTTGGAGCATGAAGCTTTAATGGCGCTTCAGTCCATGCTCCCGCCGGTCTACGCCGTCGGCCCGTTACAGTTCCTCCAGGCACAGGTCAAAGACAGCAACGTAAGAGCACTCGCATCAAACCTCTGGAAAGATGACACTTCCTGTCTGGAATGGCTGGACACGAAACCGCCAAACTCGGTCGTCTATGTAAACTACGGCAGCATAACAGTGATGACACCAGACCAGCTCGCGGAGTTCGCCTGGGGATTAGCGAACTCCGAGAAACCATTCTTGTGGATCATCCGGCCCGACCTGGTCACTGGGGAGGCGGCGATTCTCCCACTGGAGTTCGTGGAGGAAACTAAAGACAGGGGAATGCTCTCGAGCTGGTGTCCCCAGGAACAAGTCCTGGGACACCCGGCCCTCGGGGGATTCTTGACCCACAACGGATGGAACTCGACTCTCGAAAGCATCTGCAGCGGGGTGCCAATGCTGTGCTGGCCGTTCTTCGCGGAGCAGCAGACCAATTGCCACTATGCTTGCAGTAAATGGAGATTGACATGGAGATTGACAGCAATGTGAAGAGGGATGAAGTTGAGAAGCTTGTGAGGGAGTTAATGGAGGGAGAGAAGGGAGAAGAGATGAAGAAGAAAGCTATGGAATGGAAGAAGTTAGCTGAAGAAGCTGCAACTTCTTCCATTGGATCATCACACATCAACATAGAGAAACTCATCAATCTTCATCTCCTTCCTCCCAAATATTAGACCCAACCGCCATTTACTTGCCCACAAAAGACGGAATTTTCTCTTATCAAACCTTCACATAAGTAATAAGTAAAGTTTTAAAATATATAGTTGCTTATTGTATCTTATTATAACTTGGAATATGGTATAATTGGTATGCTTAATCTATTATTATTTGGAGTAATCTAAGCAAGTAGCAGGTCTATTGTGAAAATCGTATAATAATGTCGAGTTATTATTATTGTCATCATCAATCTCAATTTTATTTTAAGTTATATACTATATTAATGTTTGGAAAATGATAAATGACCTTTAAAGCATAATTTATTTTCTAAAAAATTGATGGAAAAAGTTAGTTTGAATAGCTTTTTGAATTTTAAAGTTTTAAGGAATAAGCGGTTACAAAAAGCTTATTAACTAAACACACAGACTGTTTAACCAAGTCAAACAGCTAAGAGTGATCAAATAAGTCAAAATTGACTGATAAGTTAACTATGCTACCAAACATGACCATAATATTTATTTTCATTCTATTGGTAACATACAAGACAACTAATAGTGATCATACCCGTAAGGTACAAAATTTAATAATCCAACTTTATTAATAGTTGTTAATTAGCTTTTTATAACAACTTATTGTTTCAAAATGTAAGAATTCAAAAAGTTACTCAAAGTAATTTTTTCAATCAATTTTGTTGAGAAAGTCATTTTGTATGTAATCAACTAACAGCTAACAACTAATTTACCAAACACTTTTCTACAATAAACTGTTAGTGCTATCAACTAATCAAACACACTAGCTTAATCAGCTAAGAGCCAATTTACCAAACATCCCAAAATCAATTTTATTAAACATATAAAATTAGGTCTACTTCTGCAATTGGGTTACGGCAATAGCCCGCCATAGTTACCACGCAACTGCCTACTTGATTCATCAATTAGAGTGCGCCACATTTTAGTTACTTGCCATGAAGCTAAGTATTATGACACTAATCAGAGTGGACCGGCGGCTAACCTTCTTGTACATATTCATAAACAAATATCTTTCAACCCAGGAAGATTATGTGATCGAGAAATTCAATTCCCAAACCACAAATATCTTTCAATTGCCTATAAATATGAATGCCCTTTTTCCTTCCACAAACTCAAATAAAAGTCTCAAACCAATCAAGAAGTAGAGAGAGAAAGAGGGAAATGGGTTCAAATAACTGTGAATTTGAGAAGAAGCCCCATGCAGTGTGCGTACCATACCCAGCCCAAAGCCACATAAACGCCATGTTGAAACTAGCCAAACTTCTCCACAACAAAGGCTTTCACATAACTTTTGTGAACACAGAATTCAACCACCGCCGCCTACAGAGATCCAGGGGGCCGGAATCTCTCCGGGGCCTGCCGTCGTTCCGGTTCGAGACCATTCCCGACGGCCTTCCGCCCTCGGACGTGGATGCCACCCAAGACATTCCCTCCCTTTGTGTGTCTACTGCTACAACTTGTTTAGGTCCTTTCAAGGACCTTCTAGCCAGGCTTAATCACACGGCCGCCGCGACTAACGTGCCGCCGGTGTCGTGCATCGTCTCCGACGGGATTATGAGCTTCACCCTTGCCGCCGCCGAGGAACTTGGCATCCCTGACGTCCTGTTCTGGCCAATTAGTGCTTCTGGCTTCATGGGTGTGATGCACTACTCCCAACTCGTCGACAAGGGCTACACGCCACTCAAAGGTATGTACGATCTATAGCCTTAACAAATTTCTGGGCAAAATAGCAAATTCACGGGTAATTACAAGGTTACAAGTTTAACTTTGCTTCTCCCTCAACTATGAGTAATCTATTTGTGGTTACGTTCTTTGCCCTCTAAAGTAATTTATGATGATTTACCTCTTTGTTGGCCGTTAGAGTCACAAAACCAGTAATCTAGTATGTCTTACTTCCTTGTGGTCATTTGCTGGTTATTGTATCTGAAGGTGGTTTACCTAGTTGTTGTCCTTTGACGACTAAAATCACAAGGCCAGTGACCTAGTTGTTTTATCTCTTCTTTCCAAAAGGTTGAATCCCCAACTTCAACGTCCCCACACCGCGGCCCAACAAAGCATTGGGAGGATATAAGTCATGGTCGTAACTCAGCTGAACCACATAGGCTAGACCTTTGCTTATTGCGCACAAGGAGCCTCATCACTTTGAGAAGTTACTGAGCCACACGGAGACTAGTTGTTTTATCTTGCTGATATCCTTTACCAACTAGGATAACCTAAGATTGTTTACCTACTTGTTGTCCTTTGCCAAACTATCATTAAGTGTTACAAGTTGCAACTTACAACAAAATTTTCTTTCAGATGAGGGTTACTTAACAAATGGGTATCTGGAGACGGAGTTGGATTGGGTAAAAGGCATGAAAGGCATACGTCTGAGAGACCTTCCAAGTTTCATGAGAACCACAGATCCAAATGATATCATGCTCAACTTTCTCATACAAGAAACGGAGAGATCCAAAAAGGCTTCTGCAATCGTTCTAAACACATTCGACGCATTGGATCATGAAATTTTAACAGCCCTTCAATCCATGCTTCCACCCGTCTACGCCATCGGCCCCTTACCGTTGCTCCACACACAGTTTGACGACGACGACAACGTAAGATCAATCGCATCAAACCTCTGGAAAGAAGACTCCACCTGTCTGCCATGGCTCGACACCAAAGAACCAAACTCAGTTGTGTACGTAAATTTCGGGAGCATAACCGTGATGACACCTAACCAGCTTGTGGAGTTCGCGTGGGGATTAGCCAATTCCCAGAAACCTTTCTTGTGGATCGTGAGGCCGGACATGGTGACCGGGGAAGGAGCTATGCTCCCACCGGAGTTCATGGAGGAGACTAAAGATAGGGGAATGCTTTCCAGCTGGTGCCCACAGGAACAGGTCCTGGGCCACCAGGCTGTCGGAGGATTCTTGACTCACTGCGGATGGAACTCGACTCTCGAGAGCATATGTAATGGCGTGCCAATGCTATGCTGGCCGTTCTTCGCAGAGCAGCAGACGAATTGCTGGTATTCGTGTACTAAATGGGGGATTGGTATGGAGATTGACAACAATGTGGTGAGGGATGAAGTTGAGAAGGTTGTGAGAGAGCTAATGGAGAGTGAGAAGGGAAGAGAGATGAAGAGAAAGGCCATGGAATTGAAAAAATTGGCAATGGAAGCTGCAGACACCATTCCAATTGGCTCATCTCACGTCAACATAGAAAAATTCATCAATCATCTTCTCCTTTCACATAGAAAGTAACATCCAGAATTGATTTTCTGGGGACAAATTGTCTAGTGTCACCGTCATCACCACACATAATGTAGACTAGTTTTATTGTTGTGGCTTGGGACAATTTAATTAAGAGACTGATGACTAGTGAGTATGTGTCTTTAAGTGCCTTTAATGCATAAACTTGCCAATTATATTGTACCTTTAGCAGCCTGCCATTTATTGTCATTTGTCCACTTGGTTTATAGAGACTTGAATGGTTGATACTTGATAATGAATGAACAAACCAATTGATAATATTTGAACACAAGTTCACAATGACTAGCTCATAAGATGTTATGTAAACTGAGTGAAATTCAAGGAAATCAGCTTAAGAATCGAACTTGAATATTTATGATATTAGACCAATTGCTTAACTTGACCAAAGATTGTCCCTATTAATACAAATCTTGTTTTGTACAAGAGGATGTGCCAAGAAGAGAAACCAGTCAACTACACAAATATGAGTCAAGTATTGTTTATAACATCACTAAAAATCATTGGGTATTAAACCTTATAGAGATTAGAGTTCTCTTAGCTACGAGTTTCTCTCGTTACTCAAAAATAATACGGAGTAATAATAATAAATTTATGTTTGGAGAGCCAATTGTACAATTCTGACAACAGAATTGCAACAAATGCAATTCCGCTATTGTTAGAATTACATGAGAAGACATGTCGAAAAAAAAAAAGTCACATAAAATTGCAAACAACATTTCAGCAGTGCGAATGGCTTAAGCCTACCATTTTAAATTGATAAAAATGTCTATTTTCCAACTCTAATGATATGCTTGTACCTATTATTGGAACTGGTTATCAAAGTTAGTTACTCCGTATTATTTTTTCTTACTATTTATATGTGATGGATTATAGTACAATTTAACTGGTTTAATAATTCAAATAGCACATTCATAAAAGGCCTCATTTGATAAAATAGTTAATTTATCAATCAATTTTAGTTTATTTGACTATTATTAGATGTTTGACTTGGTTAAATAATCAATGATTGTTTGATTAATTAGTCTTTTTTTTTTTTTTGTGTAAAAACTAGTATTTTTTTCCGTGCGATGCACTGAATGGATTTGGTATAATATATTAAGAATATTTGGATCGATATACAGTACAATTATTTAAATTATAACATCAAATACGGAGTGTTATATAGTGCAATTGAATATATGGTTTGGATCGTCTATGCTCGTTGATGTTATCATTCTTGAATTGAGAAAGTAATTGCTCAAAGTAATAGTTAATGTGTAGATGTACACATGCGGTGCTGTAACTTTAGAGATTTTTATATATTATTGTTTAGAATTTTTATAAATTGGGCAAATGTGCTCGTTCTCTAGCAACTTAGTTATAGTAATCAATTCCTATCTTAATTCATTTGTAAAAATGATATATTTTTGTCTAGATATATAGCAATTTTGTCATTTTGGAAAAAGAAAAAAAAAAACATAATGACCTTGTTTGGCAATCAGCGGTTAGCGGTTTGTGTTAGCTGATAAAGAATTGAAAATTGCGTTAGCGGATTTGACCAACGGATTGTATTAGCAATTTGTAAAAAAAGTTTGGTAAAATTAAATGTTTCATGTTAGTTGTTAATTCGTAAAAGACTCAAAAGGACATTCTTAATAGTAGTAGTAGTAGTAGCAGCAGTGGCAGTAGCAGCAGCAATAATAATAATAATAATAATAATAATAATAATAATAATAATAATAATAATAATAAAATTAAAAGGAAAGTGATGTGGGATCAAAACTGATCCCACATCAAAAACAAATAAAGAAAAGGGCGTTGAGCAGCAGCAGCAGTAATAATACTAATAATAATAATAATCAAAATTTAAAAAAAAAAAAAAGAAAAAAAAAAAGGAAAGTGATGTGGGATCAGAATTGATCCCGCATCGAAAACAAATAAAGAAGAGGGCGTTGAGCTCTCTCATTAAATTAAAGGGGAGCTCAATGCCCCATTCTGCTTCCCACATCGGATGGGCACGGAAATAGAACGCAAATTATGCTGTGAAAATGTGTTCACCATGCGCATGGTGAACACAAGGGTAGATCCATAATTTTTATGCTGTAGATCCATAATTTCTATGCTATACAAATTATGAATCTACGGTACGGTATAAAAATTATGAATAAACACGGTTCCACTGCATAACTATTGGAAAGTAAGGGGGTTTTGGGTTAAGGAAGCTGCAGACACCATTCCAATAGGCTCATCTCACATCAACATAGAAAAATTCATCAATCATCTTCTCCTTTCACATAGTAAGTAACACCCAAAATTGTCCCATGATCCTATCAGGTCAGAATATGACACTTTAGAGCGAGAAAAATTCAATTTTTGTAGACAAATAATGAATTGAAATTATCTAGTGTCACCCTCATCACCACACATCATATAGACTAGTTATAATGTTGTGACTTGCATTGGGACATGCAATTTAAGAGACTGATGAGTAGTGACTATATATGTATCTTTTAGCGCCTTTAATGCATCAACTTGCCAATTGTTTAGCAGCCTACCCTGTATTGTCATTTGTCAACTTGGTTTATAGAGATTTGAATCGTTGATAATATATGAACAAACCAATTGATAATATTTGAACACAAGTTCACAATGACTAGGTCATAAGTTTGATTTGTTGTGGTTAGCTTACTCACGCACGTTATAATAAATAAAAAAAAATGAAATACTCATTATTCTTTAAAAAGTAGTATTTATTCTATACTTTTTCAAACATTTTTACTCCAAAGAATCGTCCCATCATTGGGATAACCACCCATTTGAAATGGTAATCGCGGAATGCATGGGACAAGTTAAAAACAATTATTCAAAAATCAAGATGGAGTCGACTACATATATAATTGACGAGTGCACCCAAACCAACCAACCAAGCTGACCAGGCGACTACTGCACCATCAACTTGTGCCTTCAAAATCTCTAGCTATTGACAAAACCGCACTATGGCAAATTATACCATATATATAGATTATGACTTATATGCAAGTGAATCACTAATAAATGTTCATTTTTAATATACTAAAGATTTATTTTTAATCCTTTAAAAAAAAGATTATTTTTAATGTATTGTAATAAATTATAAAATAATGAAAGTTAATATTTTGTAATAAAAATATTAACTTTAAATATACTAAAAATAAATAAATAAAAAATTAATACATTCATAATTTCTATACTGTAGATTCGTAAAATTTATAATGTAGATTCATAATTTCTATACTGCACATTCATAATTTATGTACTGTAGATTCATAATTTTTATACTGCACATTCATAATTTCTATACTGTAGATTCATAATTTCTATACTGTAGATTCATAAAATTTATAATGTATATCCATAATTTCTATATTGCACATTCATAATTTATATACTGTAAATTCATAATTTGATAACTATATATACAATTTAGAAATTATTAATCTATAGTACATAAATTATAAATATGCAGTATATAAATTATAAATCTACAGTATAAATTTTATAAATCTACAGTCACATCATAGACATTAATTGTGATGTTATAACTTGGGGACCATAAATTTTATTTTTTTAAAAAAAAATAAATATAAGAGATAGTACGCCTACCTTGCATTGTCATTTTGGCACATGTTGTATAGATAATATGAAATATAGATACCACACACTATTGTCTCACAAGTTCACACTAAGACTCTATTTGACAAATTTAGTTAAAAAGTTATAAGCTATGAGCTGAAAGCAGAAAAAGAACTGAAAGCTATAAGTTTGGAGGTGAAAACTGAAGAGCTGTTAAGCTAGCTGTTATGATTGAAAGCGTTTGGTAAAATTAGCTTTTTGATAAGCTGATAAAGGTAAAAAGACTAAAAATGACATCTTCATAAAATTTAAATTAGTTTGTTTACCTATTAAAATTTAATATTTTGTCTTTAAAAAAAATTAACATTTTGAAATAAAACTAGTAGCATAATCATGATCTAGCATCTCATAATAAAGTAGCAATATTATTGCAAATCTCATAATAATAATAATAATAATAATAATAATAATAATAATAATAATAAAATTTGCGGTGAAAGTTGCGGATAAAGGAGAAGAGAAAATGATTTTAATTGGGAAGAGTAAATTATGTCATTTCTTTAAAATAATAAGGATAAAATGAAAATAAAAAATTTAGGAAGCTATGAGCTTATTTTGGAACGCTACTTCCCTCCTAAGCGTCGACGTCTAATTTTTTTTTTTAATTAAAATTAAAATTGACCGCCTAAAGCGCCTACAAAATAAGTTATAAGACAATTCAACTAATAACTTAATAAATAATAATATAATATAAACAATAAACTTACAAAATCAATATTTCAACAACCCAATTGACCAGAGATGGTCATGAGCGAGGTTTGATATATGACTTACTAAGTTCGCATGCACTGAGCAAGTCAGGCTAAGTTGATATATATGCGTCTATAAGACAATTATGTAATTGAATTTGCTTGGGCTATTCCTATCTTTAAAATTTACTCCCTTTTGAAGTGACATAACATAATTTATAAATTAAACTTTTTAAAAAATATGACGTGACTTGCAATCTTTGGAAGATTAATAAGGATTGCAAGTCTTGAAAAAATGAGAAAAAACAAAAAAAGTAAATGGGCGTTTACTAATTGAAAATTTCTGAAAAATGGAAAACAAAAAATATGTTTAATAACACATTTTTTAATTTTTGAAAACTGAAAATAATTTCTGAAAATTTGGAACACACTTAAAAACTATTTTCGAAATGGAAAACAGAATCATCATATTCTATTTAGTTATATATCATCATAACCACATTACTATGGTTACATTCATTATCATCTTATTTTACTTATCAGTATCTTTTATAATTTCTACTTCCTTTACTTATTTAAACATGATTTATTTGCTTACACTTTAAAGTTAGACATTATTTACATTATCAAAATTAAGAATTAAACTCTATATACTGTTTTGGATTTTGATTGAACTCAATAGATTATTAGTTTGAATATTTTTAATTATGTTACATCATAATACAAGTTCGGTCCAGATATCAGATATTGAATCTCACATATATTAGAATTCAAAGTAAAAGTTATATATTCATATACATATCATTCAAATGAATATCCACCTGTCTGCCATGGCTCGATACCAAAGAACCAAACTCAGTTGTGTATGTAATTTTTGGGAGCATAACCGTGATGACACCTAACCAGCTTGTGGAGTTCGCGTGGGGATTAGCAAATTCCCAGAAACCTTTCTTGTGGATCGTGAGGTCGGACATGGTCACCGGGGAAGCAGCTATGCTCCCACCGGAATTCAAGGAGGAAACGACTAAAGATAGGGGAATGCTTTCTAGCTGGTGCCCGCAGGAACAGGTCCTGGGCCACCATACTATCAGGAGATTTTTGACGCACTACGGATGGAACTCGACTCTCGAGAGCATATGCAATGGCGTGTCAATGTTGTGCTGGCCGTTCTTCGCGGACCAGCAGACGACTTGCTGGTATTCGTGTACTAAATGGGGGATTGGTATGGAGATTGACAACAATGTGGAGAGGGGTGAAGTTGAGAAGCTTGTGAGAGAGCTAATGGAGAGTGAGAAGGGAAGAGAGATGAAGAGAAAGGCCATGGAATTGAAAAAGTTGGATAAGGAAGGTGCCGACACCAATCCAATAGGCTTATCTCACATCAACATAGAAAAATTCATCAATCATCTTCTCCTTTCACATAGTAAGTAACACTTAAAATTGTTTCATTATCCTGTTGGATCAAAATATGAGACAAGTAATGAATTGAAATTGTCAAGTGTTACCCTCATCACCACACATCATGTAGACTAGTTGTACCGTTGTGGTTTGGGACAATATAATTTAAGACACAGACTAGTGACTATATGTGTCTTATAGTGCCTTTAATGCATCAACTTGCCAATTGTTTGGCAGTCTGCCATGTATTTTCATTTGTCCAATTGGTTTATAGAGATCTGAATCATTGATAATATTTTTTTTTTTTTGACTACTACTGGTTTTGTTACAATGCAGTATCTGTTCATAACTACTTTATCAATTGAGTGAAGCACAAAGAGTCAATAGCGCCTCCACTGAGGCTCGATCACTACACCATCAACTTGTGCCTTCAATATCTCTAGCTACGTACGTACCATCCATGGACCATGGCCATGTCACATGTGTATTTATTTATTTATTTATTAGCATTGTAAAATTTATAATTGTAATAATAATTATAAATTGATCCAATGCTATTGATATTATAAAGTTAATAATAATATTATTGATAATTATAAAAATTTAGTTTAATTGATAATTATAAATTTAATAAATAAAAATAAAATAAAATAATTCAATAACTAACCGTGTGTTTACAAATAAATTTATTTAAAAAAAAAAAAACAATAAGAACGGGCAACGACCAGTTCAAGTAAAAACAAAGACTTAATCTAGATTGGCGGCCACTTTAAAATGCTCAAACGGGCGAGTGTGATTGGTCAGTGAAAGACAAACCAATCACAAAAAACTAAGTCTCCACATTAGGTAAAATTCATTGTTTGAAATTTTTATTGTACTAAAAGCCACAAACAATCCCCTTTTGGTCACATTCATCAATTAGAGTGCGCCACATTTTAGTCACTTTGCCATGAAGCTAATTTTGACACTCGGAGTGGACAGGCGGCTAACCTTTTCTTGTACATAAAGTTTTCATTTCTTATCTAATAACGTCACAACCCATTAAACAAATATGAATAATGACCTTTCTTTCCACTAACTCAAATAAAAGTCTAAAACCAGGCCAATTCAATCAAGAAATAGAGAGAGAAAGAGGGAAATGGTTTCAATTAACTGTGAACTTGAGAAGCCCCATGCCGTGTGCGTACCACACCCAACCCAAAGCCACATAAACGCCATGTTGAAACTAGCCAAACTTCTCCACAACAAAGGCTTTCACATAACTTTTGTCCACACAGAATTCAACCACCGCCGCCTACAGAGATCCAGGGGGCCGGAATCTCTCCGGGGCCTGCCGTCGTTCCGGTTCGAGACCATTCCAGACGGCCTTCCGCCCTCAGATGTGGATGCCACCCAAGATATTCCCTCCCTTTGTGTGTCTACTGCTACAACTTGTTTAGGTCCTTTCAAGGACCTTCTAGCCAGGCTTAATCACACCGCCGCCGCGTCTAACGTGCCGCCAGTGTCGTGCATCGTCGCCGACGGGGTTATGAGCTTCACCCTTGACGCCGCCGAGGAACTGGGCATCCCTGGCGTCCTGTTCTGGCCAAC